TGGAACTAAATGCAATTCAGCAAGGTCAAAAAAACTATCGACGCAGCACTCAAAGTTATTCCAATCGTCGGCATTTCCTACCACAGTCAAGTTCAAGAGAAAGAAGGCACTTTTGTTTTTACCATGGAAGATTTAAAAAATATGCACAAAAGTGTGTTCAACCTTGTGATTGGAAACAGGATCTCAACTCAAGGAAACAGGGAAACTAAGTGAAGCACGGACAACGGCGGAACTCTGTGCTATTCACCCGTCCAACCGCCTCACTATTACCGACCGAAAAAGTGGTATGAGATTTTTGATTGACACGGGAGCAAATATTTCAGTTATTAGCAAGCCACAGAGACATTCACTAATACAAGATGAACAATGTATACTTTATGCCGCCAATGGTACAAAAATTAAGACATATGGTGAAAAAACACTCTCTTTAAACTTCGGGCTACGAAGAAACTTTGTATGGAACTTTGTCATCGCCGATGTAACACAACCGATTATTGGAGCAGATTTTTTAGAGCATTATAAGCTATTAGTCGATATAGCTGGTCGAAAACTCATAGATAGGGTAACTGAGCTGACAACGCCCGCAACCCTGATCAAATCGACGCAGCAAACAATCCGCACTATTAACATTGAGACGTTTATCATTAAAATTGGGGACAATGAAAAAGCAATATCTATAGACCGATTAAAACCTGCATTTGTCTTCAATAGTGGAACGAACGTGCCAAATTCAGAAAATAATCACAACGGGCGGAACACGTACATCACGAAGTCAGGACGGGCGGTTAAGCCGACAGTACGATTCGTCACTTGCTGACACAAGTAATCAGTCCATTTAAATGGATAGTTCATCGACTGCCGCCGCCGTCACAACAAAGGCAGCAGTTTTTATTTCCTTCGAATTAGCAACAATGACATTACATTACGCATAGGATTTAATTTATCAGCAAGGTTAAGTTATTATATAATTAGGTACATACTAATTTTTTTTCAATTTATATGTTAATTATTTTTAAAAGGGGGGAGTATATGTAGCGGCACTATCACGTCGCTACATTACTTAGATACGATAGAGATAAGACATACATGTTAATTGTTGCACGTTTGTTAGGATAGCTAAATCTGAAAATCTCACGCATCTTCTTAGTATATAAGCACCAGCAATTAAAGTAATAAACAGACCTTAACCATCTACAGTCTCATTATTTACCTTGCCACGAAGTCTGGCAAACCCTCCTCAGAAACACCTCGGGTGAGACGCTCAGTCCAGAGCAATCAGCGGATCACACACACACACACACACTCACACACACACACACACACACACACACACACACACACATACATACACACACATACACACACAAACCCACACCAATACACACACTCACTTAAAACATACATCGTGCATATCACACGCTGCTCCAAAAGTAAAAATTAATAGTATTGTTTCTGATTATACCATTGGCTTTGTCTTATAAGTTTAAGGTTCTCTAACCTACTTAAAGTCTCATGTTATTTATTTTTCTCCATGTAAATTTTGAATAATACCCATTTTTTCATTATTTTTAAGTACCTACAATCATTTTTAAAATACCTACTTATTAGATTTTATATTAGTTCTTAAATACCTTGAACATTAGTTTTAAATTCCTATCTGTTAAGGTCTCACTTTTGTTACTTGTAAACTATAGAAGGAGAAGGAAGAAGCGAGGCAACCCCAACACAAGTATATTCTATTTACTTACTGGGGCTGCCTCAATTACAATAAGTACTGTAATGATTTTGAGATAATAAAGATAAAGATATAAAGATATAAAGATATTAAACTCTCTGAACCCTGTTACTCAGGCATGAGGTAAGAAAGTCATGAGATGCACCCCTTATTCCGCAATGGGAAAGCTTTCTGATCATGAAGCACACGCGTCGTAAATGTGATTAAGAACTCACTGGCATCGGTGACTCAAGGGACTATTCTCCCCTCTCTTTCTCATCTATATTAATGACATGCCTTCGTTAACAACTCACGACATTACACTGTTTGCTGATGATAGCACGGTTTTATTTGCTAATGATAATTCAACTGATTTAGAATCTGAGATTAACCAGACAATATTACAGATTGGCTTAGAATGAATAATTTAAGTAATTATTAATATTGATAACTGTTCAGCTTCTTGAATTTTTTGGCCTATCAGAACAATTATGAACAATGAAAATTTTAAAAGGACTCTCCATGATCTACTCGTAAACAAATGTTATTACTCTGTTAAAGAATTTCTATCCGACAAATCTCTAAGTACAGAAATACAGTCCGACCCAGTCGTGATGTGCTCAATGACCTGAATAATAAATGTAACATGAATTATAATTATACACAATAATCTATTTTTTATTTTATGTCATGGATTTTGTAATTTCTCTTATTGGTGTTTTGGTTAATTTAATTATTTTTTTTGAATTTTATATGTATAATATGACATTTTACCTGTCGTGATTTATTGTGTTTGACTTTATTATTTAAACTTTTTTGAACCTTTTAGCAGTTAATTTTAATTTCTGATCTGCTGCTCAGCTCTCAATATTTTCAAATATTTAAGAACTGTACTACACATACCTATGATCCACAATAAATGTTTGATTGATTGATCGGTTGTTGAGCGACCTCTAAATCAGAACTGTTTAGCATGTTGTAATAATTTATTTCTATTAAAAAACCTTAATTAGAAAAAAAGATACTGAACGTGATAGTACTGAAATAGATCTTAAGTTATTGGGGTCAGAAGTACTACCTGATTTAAATAATGGAATTATTTTACCACACTTCATAGGATTAGAAAACAACAACAACAAACGGTCAATACAGTTATTAAATATTTGAGCTAGTACAGGTGCTACAATAGTTATTACAGAGCTTGTAATATACACAGAATTACCCCATAGATCTGCAGTCTTTTTGTTATTAAAAGTATTAAAGGTTGTAACAATGTCTGTGTTATACATATGTGCTGAAAGTAAAAGCCTGTGTCCCAAGCTACAACGTGTTCCTCGAGTAAAGACTCTGCAACACTGGGAGATGAATTCAGTGACTTAGAAGTGGATACAGGTGTCGGAAAATAAGTTTCCAAAAGCAGTTGCAATTTCTTTATCTGTTTTTATTATCTTGTTATCAAAAACAAGACTATGTTTGATTAACTTTCTTTTTAGATCTTCCTGCATTGCTATTGATTCCAAGTTTCTTTGATAACATTTTGGTACTGTTCTCTATCTTAGAGCTTAAGAATAGTGATTTAGCAATACAGCAAGCCTTTTTGAATGTTTGAATTCAACCGTGTTAATATATGTCCGCTCATTATAAAGCTCATAGAGGCGATTTCTACTCTTATAGATACCAGTGGTTGCCCAATCACCGAAAGACGCATTGCTATTAGCTGGTATAGTTTTATCTGTAAAAGTAGACTTAAACTCTTTTATACGGTACATTTAAAAAAAATATCATATAGAGTGTTAGAATTCTTACAATTCAACAAAAAAGGCAATTTGTTGCTGAGTTTAGATGTGAAAAATTCAATGCGTCTTTTATTCTTCGGATTATGTTTTGACACTATATTTATTTCATTTGTTAAGTGTGGGAGAGCCATGCTTCGGCACGAATGGGTCGGCTCGACCGGAGTGATACCACGGCCTCACAGAAAACCGGCGTGAAATAACCACTGTGTTGTGTTTCGCCGTGTGAGTGAGGTTACCGGAGGCCCAATCCTTCCCCTTCCCCATTCCCTCCTCAATCCCTAAATCTCCAAATCCCTAATCTCTTAAAGGTCGGCAACGCACTCGTAACACCTGCGTTGCGAGTGTCCATGGGCGGCGCTGATTGCTTACCATCAGGTAACCCGTCTGCTCGATTGCCGACCTATTACATATAAAAAAAAAAAATTTGTTGAAGAAATTTATTAACCACAATTGCCTGAATCGAGTACTGATATTATTTATTTGTTAACTGGCACAATGTCAGCAAATAAATACTGGCTAGGAAAGTGGCACTAGTTGGCTCCAGAAACGAATTGGCCAGGCTGTATGAAGAAAACCAACTCACAATTTTTTTTATCAAAATCACTACATATAGTGATGGATTTCTTTGAACTTTTAAGCTTAGTTAGTACTTCATTCATTACATTTCTAAACAGTCATACAAACCAGAACCGAGAATTTCACACAGGCTTTTTCAACAGAGTAACTAACTAGAGGAAAGTCTCTTAATATATAATACTGTCATTAAAATACATGAAAATTCCATATTGGGGTATCATCAAAATTGTATTTCATATTTGGATACTTTCCTCTATATCTTTTCGATATTTGAATTTAAGCTGATTACTAATCAGTATAAGTGAGCCACCATGTATAGCGTTTTCTCTGCTGAACGAGCTACCAATCTGGTGCTTACCAAAATTGAACATGAGCTGTTGGGGTCTCAACCGAAGTTCAGTAATGCACAAAATGTCAACATTATTACAATTTAAAAATAACTCTATTTCTAATTCTTTACTCATAAAGCCTGGTCATAGTATATACCCTATTAACTGTAACGAGTTAATAGTGCTATTATTTACTCCCCGTTCATCCAGACCTCTGTGTAGTTAGACACATATCAAGATAAAACAACCGACGATGTTTTGGGATAATCGATCAAAGTACTTCCACAATTTGTAATATTTGATAAATATAAATCCAAGATCTTTGATATAATTTGTGTGGAGGATCTGTGAAAAATGAGATATATCCGGAGATTTTTGATAAGGATCGACTATGAATTTTTAACTTATTTTATTTTTATTTTTTGTGTGCTTTCCAATTGTTGAGTGCATGACACTGACAAGTAAGGCTCCGCAGGTGGCGCGCCAGTATACAATACTGTTATAGCTACCAGGTGGTGGCGAGTAACTTTCCAATATGGGTGAAATAAAAGTCGTGTGTCAGTCCAACAATATATTTGGTAATACGTTGAGCAAACAGTCCCCACGCCACAGCGAGTCGTGATGACGTAAATGTCATTGTTGACAAGAAAACTAATTTTATTAAATACATAGTTACAGCTCCCGGTGTATGATGGCAGATTCCTTAGGGAATTTGAAAACAATAAAGCTAATGTCTGGTAGTCGGAGGCACCCTCGGAGGGCCGCGCTACTGGCGCGGCCGTGCACCGGCGCGGTACGCGGAGTGCGTGCTAGTACTAAGGCAGTGTCGGCGGCGGAGGGCTGCCCTCAGCGCCTCCGCACTTCGTTGTCCGCGAGCGCCGGAGCTGCCGTGCTGGTGGTAGTAGTGGTGGTGGTCGGCGGATCCAGGCCCTTGATCTCGAAGGGCCCTCGGAAGAGTGGCCGGAAAAGTCGTAGGAATGTCTGGTAACGTACCGCGGAGTTCTGTAAGAGAGCAAACAGTAAGTGCGCTGCAGTACGCGGCTGAAGGGGGAGGGGGGCGTCGGTCGCTCACCTGTATCACGTCGCCGATGATCTTAGTAGTGCGGATGAGGAGCGACACGGAGGGCCCAAACAGGCTCCCCGGCAGGTCCAGGCTGACCTTGTTCCGGTCGAACACGGGGATGTCGTCGCTCTGGCGCCGCGTCCTGCCAGTGGCCGGCGTACTGCGGGAGCGGCGCGACCACGATGGGTGCGCTATACCCGGCGTGCCCGCCGTCCGCGCCAGCTCCCGGCGCCTCGATGTAGTGCCACTCTGAGACAGCGGGCCACTGAGCATCACGTGGCCCGCGCCGCGCCTCGCCTCGCCTCGCCTCGCGTCTTCTTGTGTATGTTGTGTACTTTTGCTTTGTCGAGTGTGGTCGGTATTTGTGTCGATCGACTGCTGCGTCACGCGTCTCGCATAATTATATCATTAATTGCGAGACATAATAGCGATTACTCGTAAATATAATACAACTTTTATAAAACGACAACAACTTGCATCATATTCCTCAAACACGGTGGTTCTGTGAGACTGAAGGTAGAATGGCAGGTAGCGGCCGCAGCGTAAATAAGATAATACAAATAAATGTCGGCATCGTATTTATTATACATACATTAATATTATATATAGAGATACATGATCACTACGACATACGGTACATATACATACATATAGTGTAGGTATGTCATGCTCGCTCGTAGAGAAAGCATGAACAAATACAAAACAAAGTGCTTAGTGTGAGTTTACTCTGCGTTACCGCGATCGACATTGTTATGGCATTCAGCGCTCCGGTTGCCAAGCGACGGATCCATCAGTAGTCGATAACGTTTCGATCGCATTAAGAATAAATCGCACTCAACACCCTGATTCGAATGACGGGATGACAGGTGCAGCCAGACGACCAGTGGTAAGTGGAAGACAGATAGGGAGGGGGGGGGGGGGACGTGCAGTAGTAACATCGCAATGTTCTGTGCTGCTCGACTGTTACCAACATGTGCACCGCGGTCCCCCTGCAGCACGAGCTACAAGTATCATATCTGTACCTTGCTAAAACAATGTGTATAGAGCCGCGGCAGGCGGCAGTGAGCAGGTAAGTGAGATTGCGTATGTACTTATTGCATGGACTATGACATAATGATAGTCAGAGCCAGACTTCCTCATCAATACCATATTTATAAGAACCTATAAATGTAAAAGTTCGTTTTGTTACTCAACCAACTAAAGTGAATCAACTCCAAAACGAATGTACGTTAAACTCAGTGTGATTAATAAATATAATAAACGGAGTAGCGCAGGGGGTGAGAGAGGGCGCGTTGGCAGAGTGTTGGAGTGTCGGAGTCGTGGTGCGTGTGTGTGTGTGTGTGCATGTGCGAGGGACTACAGGCTACAGGCTACGGGCTACGGCCTACGGACTACGGACTACGGGCTACTTACTACGACATCGCTAAGGTGCGTGAAGAGTACGCTATACAAATACAGTGCTGTAACCCTGCGTGCTTTGATACGCCCCGATTCATTGTCGTCCAATATCGGAGCATAGCTCGCACGCACTGTCACTGGTTCAAACTACTTTGTACAATAAATGCTACATAATTATTCACAAACACACATCGTATACAAACATGCAAATACCTGCATCGCCGCGCAGACCTCGCCGTACTCCGGCACTACCAGGCAGACTATGTACAGGCTGTACGTGTCAAAGCTAGTCAATAAATAAACAGTTGCGTGGTGGCGAGTACCTGCAAGTGGGGACTAGAGGCGTGAGCGCGGACAGTACGGGCCAGCAATGTATCAGCCGCGCTGACCTCGGCCGTAATTGTATGCTGGCACCTACTTAGCTGTCCGGTTTGCAAACCACGCCGGATATATTAAATAATTTACGCAAAGGCTAAACAAATAAAAGTTGGCAAATGTCTACTTTGATAAACAGGCGCCCTGCGGCACTAGACTAGCGGCGGACTATGTCCATCCCGTGCAGGACACAAGCTGGTGGGCATGCGGTGCAGCGTGCAGTAAAACAACACTAGTTCCGAGGAATCGTTTAATATCACCAACGCTCACCTAAACCTATTTACAATATAAATACAATACGTAGGGGCGGCGCGCCGCCGGCACGGGGGTGGGGCCGCGGACTGTACAGGCGGCCCGAAGAGGGGAGGGGCGACACAGTCGGACTCGTACAGGCGGAGTGCCAGTCGCCAGGCTGCTGCTACGCTAGCAGGTGCCAGGAGGCACTCCGCCTGTACGGGACTGTGGGAGATGAGGCGCGGCGATCACGAGTCATCCTCCTCAGAGGAGTCGATGGTCTCGACGGTGCCGCCGGCGCCGCCGCCCGACGAGGAGCCCGACAGCGAAGTGACGAGTGAGATGATGGAGCCGAGCCCGCCCCCACCTGAGCTGCCGGAGCCGCCGGACGCGCCGCCCAGCAGCCCCGTCACCGCCTGGATCTTAGGCCCCAGCAGCTGCAGCTTGGGGCCGATGACCTGGCCCACGATGCCGCTGAGCGACGCGAGTCCGTTCTGCGGAGCCTCGATGCCATACTGTTTGTTCAGCTCGATGTTCTGTTTGTCCAACGTGTCGACCAATCGTGTCTTCGCGTCAATCAGCGAGTTGATTTTCTACAACAGAGAGGGAGCGAGTGACGCGGCGATGTAGTCGGAGGGTGGGCGGAAGCGCGGCCTGTACTTACCCCGAACACGAAGCCGAGCACCGCGTTCTTGATGCCGAACTTGGCCTGCGTGACGCCTTCCAGCTTACGCTTCTCCCTCGTCTGGTCGTCACCGGCGCCGTCCTGCAGACACACACCCGGTCACTACACACTACACTACACACCACACCACACAGTCCGCCACCACGGCCCGCCACCCCCACCGCCACCTTGCCTCCCCCTGCACCGGGTGGAGGGTAACTAAACATACAACAGCTACCACGTCTGCCGTCTGCCGCTACTCTCGGGTCTCGGATCTACTGACGCTCACTGTCGGCACCCACTCCATGTTACATAGGTTCTCCAGGATGGTTGGTTTCGCCAGATTACTTCACTTGAACTTGCCTACCAGCCGTTTCTAGGAGCTCGCAATAAACTTGCTTGACGATTTACTATTCGGGCTGACAGCCGAGAAGGGCAAATATTATAATTGATGCTACAAGCTGCGTGTGCTAGTCGTAAGCCAGGACACTGGACAGTGTAGGGCCGGTCGAGGCCGCCCGCCTCTCACGGCGCGTGGCGCGGCCGCTGCGGAGGCGCGCGAGTGCTGCGCCTCTCCAGCGGCGACGGGCCGGAGGTCACACAATCTCGCCAGATGAGACCGAGCGGTGCTCTTGAAGGTTACGCAGTTATGTACCTAATAGTTGCCATGTTCTAGCTGATTTACGAAATATGTAATGATGAAACACTAGCGCGTCGGACACACGACACCGGCGCTATCGACATCGGCACACTTCTCGTATGAAATTCGATAGCTAAGTACATATAACATAGCACGATATTGTTATCTGCGCCTTCTCCGCAGGCCCGTGGGAGCCGCACTAGCCGATGTAATCCGTATGCATTAGTTCCGAGATACATAAAAACACAAGAAATGTTGCTGTAACCCTAACAATCGAGGCTTGGGCAACTCCGCGAGTATGCGTGAGAACATGCAGCACTCGGCGTGTCTACAGACTACGGAGTGCCACATTAGGCCCGGGACGGCGCGCGGCCAGAATGTTCAAGTGGACGGCACGCGTCACGCCGGCCCCTGCCGCTGGCTGCCAGGAGCACCTGCGGGGTGACTTCCCAGGGTCGCTGCAGCACTAGACCACTGTGGCGTGTAACAACAATGCGCAAGCTGTTCTTCATGCGACTACATATTATTTTCAAATATCTTGACTAAAATTACCGTATAATGTCGTATTAAGTAGGACAGTGCCGCTAATGTAAACTATTCACGTAATGTGCGCTCAGATAAAGTCCTTGAGCGCACGCAACGCGCCTCGCGGCTCGTCAAGTAGCGACTGTACCGAGTCTGGCACAAACATTGTAACACTGCACGGACATTTGTGCTGATACCCGGAGTCTGGTGCGAGCGCGCGCGTGCGCAAAATGCTCACGAACGCAATCAACGAAGACGAAAATGTTAAGTGATGAATGTTTGAAGCGTTATGAATGAAGCGAGTCGAGCGAAGAGAGCGAGGCGAGGCGAGGCGAGGCGACTGCGACGCGCTGTGAACAAACACACGGAACAAAACACAAGAGGCGGCGAGACGTGACGAGAGGCGGCGAGACGCGTGCGAACCGGGACAATGTCGCACGAAGCGCCGACTTACATAAGGGCCGCGGGTCGCACGCGCCTCGTTACATCACCGACCGCTCTGCCGACCCGTCAGCCGGCGCGGCTTCATCTCGTCGAGGCAAGCGTGGTTGGGTTAGTAGGTAGTATATTGCATGTACTGCAGTCGAGCGCGGGTCAGCGACGTGCCGTGTGACCTATTGCGCCACGCTCGCCGCGACACTCCGCCGTCCGGGGTCCTGTTAGTCGGGAGCAGGGTTAGAGCGCAGTACGCACGTACCTCGATGGGCTGCAACGCGTCGTCGTCGGCGAGCTGGCGGCGCATGCGCGGGTGCGGGGCGGCGGCGGCCAGCGCCAGCAGCAGCAGCAGCGCGAGCGACGTGAGCGGGCGGGGGGCGACCATCGTGCGAGCGAGCAGAGACGAGACTGGCGCTGGGAGCGCGCGCGGCCGGCGGCGTGCGCCCCACGCGCGCGCCCCACCCGCTCCCACCGCCGCGGCCGCAGGACTCCGGCCGCCGCCCGGGCCCGCCACGGCCCGACATTGCCTCGCTCGTCACACATAACGTAATAGCGCACGCACTCTACCAGCGAGTGCCCTCGGACACAGTGACCGGACGACATGTTACTTGAATACGACTGCACTGATATGAGTTTGCTTCAATATCTGTAATTGCCTCTTTCACTGTGACTGTCGCGTGACATGATGTACCATGCAGCCCACCTGTATGGTGACAAACAATTGCCGGTCGCACGCGCCGCTGCCGGTGCGACGCGTGCGCTGTTTATTATGATATGGTAATGTCACGCGCTACTCACTCCTACATCCGGGCGGAACATAACTGAATTACTCAAATTAAAAACACAACTAATTTCCTTTTGCATATTGGCAAAAGGAAATTAGGTGAGGTACATCATTTTAAAATTACAAATATCGAATTTACCACACTTAGCTTAAATTGGAAAATAATGTCTCATTAATCATCTCTTTAGCATGATGGTAATTACGGCACAACTTAATTAAGCAACAACTAAAGACTTCGTTTACGCGTGTGACATAATTTGTAATGTTTCCGCAACATACCCACACAATATCAACACGAGCGCGTTGATGTCTTTTGTATAGAGCATATTCTCAAGAAATTGATTTTCGTAGGTATTTTAAACTCGATTCGTGAGCGTGTGTCTTTTTGTTAACATTTAGTTTGATCCACAGTCTGCATGTGTTAAATTGTATGTTTGTTAAAGCATCCACGACAGAGCAAAGTGTAAGGCTGTTTTAAAAAAAAGTTGTATGTGTTTGGTGAGTTTTGTGGGAACGGGACGAGCATTACGGCGGTCGATGTCGGCCGGAGGTGAGCAGGTGAGGTGTCGCAACCGCAGCACTTGTAACACTTGTCCTTCGCGCCGGTAATGTGTGCATTAGAAAGATAAGTAACATGACATGCGCTATAAGTGCGAGCCGCTAATTACGAGCAGCGCGAGGCCGCGCATGCGCACAAAGTAAAGCGCAAGGAAACGTCCTTTCTAAATCCGTTCGAATGGCGGGTGTGTGTGCCACTCGCCACATCCACTACAATATTATAACTTTGTGGAATTATGTAAGC